GTCGAACGCGTTTGCGCGTGTGCCGTCGCGAGAATCCTGTGCAAAAAACTGGGACGAAGTGCAGACGCGCGTTGTCGCGGGCGTATGCCGAAAACCTTCAAAACCCATCGGTTTCGGAAGGATTTCAAAATCGTGCGTCCAAAAAACATACAAAAACCCAAGGTTTTGCAACACGGATTTTCAACAAAAGCGTGCGCGCGCGCTCTTGCGTCGTCGTCGTCGTCGTCGTCGCTGTCCTCCCTCCTCCCGCGTCGTCGTCGTCGTCGTCGCCTACGTCGTCCTCTGGCTTTTCTCGTGTTCGTCGTCGTCGTCCTCTTTGGCGTCGTGGTCGTTTCCGTCGTCGTTGTCGCCGTGGTCGTCCTCCTCCTCCTCCCACGTCGTCGTCGTCGTCCGTCGTCGGCGTCTCGTCGTCGTCCCTCCTATTTCGTCGCCGTCGTCGTCGTTGTCGTCGTCGTCTTCCCTCCTCCCTCGTCGTTGTCTTCGTCGCAGTCGCCGTCCTTCCTCCTTCGTCGTCGTTCGCGTCGTCGCCGTCCTCCCTCCTCCCTCGTCGTTGTCGTCGTTGTCGTCGTTGTCGCCGTCGTCGTCCTTCCTCCTCCCTCGTCGTCGCCTTCGTTGGCGTCGTCGCCGTCGTCTTCGTCGTCGTCGGCGTCGGCGTCGTTGTCGTCGTCGAAGTCGTCGGAGACGTCGTCGGTGTCGTCCTAGTCGATGTCGTCGGTGTGTCGTCGTAGTCGGTCTTAAGAGGTTTTGCAAACCAAGTTGCGGGTGGGTGGGTGGGATGTTTGCGCGAGCAGTGGGGATGACGACTTCAAGTTCAGCAGAGTGGTTTCTCCGTTCTAAAAAGAGAATAGACTCTACCCCCCCCGGACTTAACGCTTCCCCTGGGGATAGTATAGTTTCATATATATATATGAGTATATTTTGCACACTCGTCCATCCTAAATATGAAATCGTATCATCCCAGCCAAACCGGTATCCCCCCCTGAGGTTCCCTGGTAAAAAAAACACTATGCGGTGACATTTTTGTTCTAACATAGCACTTTTTCGCGAATCCCTTGCAACAAATGGGACGATGTGCGCACGCGCGCGTCGTCGCGCGCGCATTCCGAAATCCTTCAAAAACCTTAGGTGCCGGAAGGATTTCGCAATCGAGTTTCCAAAAAACATACAAAAACACATGGTTTCGCAACGCTGATTTGCTAAAAAAGCTTCCGCGCGAGCTCTTGCGAAATCTTAAGAAAACCATTGGTTTTTCAATCTTTTCACAACATGCTACCAAACGGGCGTCGCGCGCGCATGTCGAAATCTGTCGAGCGCCCTTGCGCGTGTGCGCGAGAATCCTGTGCAAAAAACTGGGACGAAGTGCAGACGCGCGCGTCGTCGCGCGCGTACGCCGAAATCCTTCAAAACCCATCGGTTTCGGAAGGATTTCGAAATCGCGCGTCCCAAAAACCTACAAAAACCCAAGGTTTCGCAACACGGATTTTCAACAAAAGCGTGCGCGCGCGCTCTTGCGTCGTCGTCGTCGTCGTCGTCGTCGTCGCCGTCCTCCCTCCTCCCGCGTCGTCGTCGTCGTCGTCGTCGTCGTCGCCTACGTCGTCCTCTGGCTTTTCTCGTGTTCGTCGTCGTCGTCCTCTTTGGCGTCATGGTCGTTTCCGTCGTCGTTGTCGCCGTGGTCGTCCTTCTTCCTCCTCCCACGTCGTCGTCGTCGTCCGTCGTCGGTGTCTCGTCGTCGTCCCTCCTACTTCGTCGCCGTCGTCGTCGTCGGTGTCGTCGTCGTCTTCCCTCCGCCCTCGTCGTTGTCGTCGTCGGCGTCGCCGTCCTTCCTCCTTCGTCGTCGTTCGCGTCGTCGCCGTCCTCCCTCCTCCCTCGTCGTTGTCGTCGTTGTCGTTGTTGTCGCCGTCGTCGTCCTTCCTCCTCCTCCCACGTCGTCGTCGTCGTCCGTCGTCGGCGTCTCGTCGTCGTCCCTCCTATTTCGTCGCCGTCGTCGTCGTCGTCCTCGTCGTTGTCGTCGTCGTCGTCTTCCCTTCTCCCTCGTCGTTGTCGTCGTCGGCGTCGCCGTCCTTCCTCCTTCGTCGTCGTTCGCGTCGTCGCCGTCCTCCCTCCTCCCTCGTCGTTGTCGTCGTTGTCGTCGTTGTCGCCGTCGTCGTCCTCCCTCCTCCCTCGTCGTCTTCGTTGGGGACGTCGTCGTCGTCTTCGTCGTCGTCGGCGTCGGCGTCGTCGTCATCTTCGTCGTCGTCGGCGTCGGCGTCGTCGTCGTCGTCGGCGTCGGCGTCGTCGACGTCGTCGTCGTCGTCGTTGTCGGTGTCGTCGGTGTCGTCGTCGTCGTCGTCATCGTCGTCATCGTCGTCGTCGTCGTCGTCGTCATCGTCGTCGTCGACGTCGTCGTCGTCGTCGTCGTCGTGTCGGCGTCGTCGAAGTCGTCGAGACGTCGTCGGTGTCGTCGTAGTCGTTGTCGGCGGCGTCGTCGTCGTCGTTGTCGCTGTCGTCGTCGGCGTCGGTGTCGTTGCCAAGTGCCATTTGGCACCCACTGTCACGGTCTTCAGAGATTTTGCAAACCAAGTTGCGGGTGGGTGGGTGGGATGTTTGCGCGAGCAGTGGAGGTGGTCAAGCGCGGTGCAGGGTAGTCAATTTCACCACATATATTCCACCACGTGGATTACACCACGTAGTTTATACCACAGATATTGCACAACATACATCGCAACATTGCACAGCGTAGATCGTACCGCATATTTTGGGCCACATCGATCACCAACATATATATATATATATATATATATATATATCCTTTTCTAACAGAAAAATAAACTCTACCCCCCAGAGTTAACGGTACACATTTTCGAATTGCAGTTTACATATGATTTTGCATTTCATTCTAAATATGAATTCGTACTATCCCAGCTAGGCCAGTATCGCCCCCCCCCCGCCATCCTCTGCAGAAAATGCTATGCGTGCGCACTCGTTCATACAAAATCATAAGCTTTCAAGAATCTCTTGCAAACCAACGGGACGAAGTGCACACGCGTACGTCGTCGCGCGCGCATGCCGAAATCCTTCAAAAACCTTCTGTTCCGGAAGGATTTCACAATCGAGTTTCCAAACAACATACAAAAACATAGGGTTCCGCAACACTGATTGTCCAAAAAAGCTTACGCGCGCGCTTTTGCGAAATCTTACGGGCACCATAGGTTTTTCAAGGGGTTCAACAAATACTACCAAACGGGCTTCGCGCGCGCGCATGTCGAAATCTTTCGAACGTCCTTGCGCGCGTGCCGTCGCGACGGAAGGATTTCAAAATCGTGTGTCAAAAAAACATACAAAACATAAGGTGTCGCAACACGGGTTTTCAACAAAAGCGTGTGCGCGCGCTCTTGCGTCGTTTTCGTCGTCGTCGTCGCCGTCCTTCCTCCTCCCTCGTCGTCGTTGTCGTCGTCGCCGTCGCGTCCTCTGTCTTTCCTCGTCGTCGTCGTCGTCTTGGCGTCCTCTTTGGCGTCGTGGCCGTTTCTGTCGTCGTTGTCGCCGTTATCGTCCTTCCTCCTCCTCCCTCGTCGTCGTCGTCGTCCGTCGTCGGCGTCTCGTCGTCGTCCCTCCTATTTCGTCGCCGTCGTCGTCATCGTCGTCGTCGTCGTCGTCTTCCCTTCTCCCTCGTCGTTGTCGTCGTCGGCGTCGCCGTCCTCTCTCCTTCTTCGTCGTTCGCCTTGTCGCCCTCCTCCC